ATATTACAAGGGTGAACCAATGCATTTGTGATGCGTTCTGAGGAGAGGGTAGCTGCGTAGCTTCGTAGGGTTTAACGTCGCTGTGAACACATGAAGGTCATTTAGCGATGGGGCTACCTGGACAAGTTAATGTGCAGAGATAGGAATACACGGACAATATTGCATATCCTACCCAGTCACAGTATACTGACACCGGCGTAACCAATCCTATTGCTACTCCCATAATTCCGGTGCTAGGCAGGAAAGCCACTTGATTGCCGATTTTAAAGTCTTTAGTATGACCCGGCCGGGGATCGAACCCACGACCTCCTGATTGCGAGGCGGACACCCTAACCACTAGGCCACGCGACCCAGAAGCTTGGGGATTACCACGTATCGTCAATCATTGCAACGATTATATAATCACTTTACTTACCTCAAGCAAATGGCCAACCGTTCTCTCGGAGCGATAGCCTCCTTCCAACGTGTATCCTGTCTACGAATGTCATCTTTAATCAGGTCCAAGACGTCAAGCTGTTGTTCTGTCATTCGGAAATATTGCCTAAATTTAACCGGATGAAAATACAACTCTTGCACCAGGTGGTGGTATTTTTCTTTGCAACAGTTCGTGGACTCCTTCTCTCTTTCTCTTTCGTCTTTGAGTCCACAAATACAAAAGAAAGACTTCCTCTGTGTCAAACTCCATGATTGCAAATGACGGTATGTTTTCTGTGAGAGACAATAATGTAGTCTTGAAAGCCGTCCGATTTTACGTGTCCTATTTGAACGGTAAAACACGGATACGGATGCGGGTGCGGATATGAATACGGGTGTAGTGTGAACCTACCTTTACGTACAAATGGAAACAGGGCTTAAGTCAACAGAAAAGCGTACTATATAATGCGTTTACTCCAGGTGCAGACACACATAATACACAAACGCATAAACACACATTCGCGAACGATTACTCACACACACACGTTTAACTCATTGAGGACAAGCATTTTAGTCATTCTTCAACACTTTAAAAGATGTGTTATTCAAGAGGCATAACGCCATAATTCAAAAAGACATTCGATTTTCTTTATCTGAAACTTTAAACGTCATGTACCAACATGCACATTATGAAATAAGCAAATTCGTGTTTCTGATTTGAATAATATGATGGTTCGAAATGTGCCGAAAAATATCTTCTTTCCTCAGCTGCTGATCGGATATGTGAGTCAGTGTTGCCGTTAAAAAGTAAATTCTTTCTGCTTTTGAATCTCTCGAGTCGAATTCACACACTCTTTCCTGTATTTAAACCTTGTCTAGCTCCCAGAGGCGACCGCTCAGAGACAAAATCCTGCGTCCGACTTCTCCAAACATGTCCTTAGCTTTCTTTATCGCAGGAAACGATTCTAAAGATGGATGTGCATCCGGATGCGTGAAATGGAAGGCTGTAAGAAAAACAAAACAATTTTTTTACTGAACAGTAATACCTGTAGCCATTGCTCATTAATTATTGGGTGTTTTTAAATGTTCATCAATATCGTGGAGTTCATAGAGCTGGCATTAATTTGAAATAAAAACAAAAGGTGGTATATCAACAACATCAACTACAACAAACACAAAGCAACAACAACAACAACAACAACAGAAGCAGCAAAAGCAGCCAAAACAGCAGAAGCAAACGAAACAACAACAATAATAAAAAGCAGCAGTACAAACCACAACAAAAACAGCAACAACAACAATAATAACAGCAGAAGCAGTAGCAGCTAAAGAAACAACAGCAATAATGAAAACAAAAGTAAAAACAGCTACAACAATACGCTCTTCGGGGCTCCAAGCAATTTGCAAGGATAGGCTCCCACACGCACGCACGCACACACACACACACACACACACACACACACACACACACACACACACATACACACACACACACGCGCGCGCGCACACACACACGCACACAGCAACAACAACAACAACATTAACAACAACAGCAACAACAATATAAAAAACACCAACAAAACCACCACTCCTTCAACAACAACAAAACCAACAACAGCAACAACACCAGCAATAACAACAATGACAAAGTACATGTACAACACTGAAGCTTGAATACATCCTGCGTACAGTCGAGAAAAGAAAGGCATGACATAAAGGATATTATTCTTTCTTTGAATCAAATCGCCATAACTCTTGCATGGGGTCAGACACCTTTCGAGCCCAATCAATCACTTACAAAGTACATCACGCCAATGAAAGTCCAGAGTCGGTCGCCTGTCGTTGATGTCCCGAATGTAATCTTCCTCCCAAGCTGGGTGACAGATTTCCATGAAGCAGATGACCTAAGAGAGAGAAATGTGCTTTACTGTATTTTCAAAGAGAGAGAGAGAGAGTTAGAAAGAGAGAGAGAGAGAGAGAGAGAGAGAGAGAGAGAGAGAGGGGAGAATAATATTTCTATAGCCCTAATTAATCA